TCATAGCGGGAAAGGAAGTTTCAGGCGACTCCCGGCCCGCCCGTCCGACTTGTTTCGGCGTGCGACAGGGAAGAGTCATGTATAGGGAGAAGGAATTAATGATGATGTTATTTGCGATGAGGAGGAGGAGGACGAGGAGGAGGAGGAGGAGGAGGGGGGGAGGAAGGGGAGGAGGAGGAATAAGAAGAGGGTAGCGGGTGGGAGGAGGATCAGAAAGGGGGAGGAGGAGGAGCAGGAGGGAGATGAGGAGAAAGAGGACGGTGATGGTGGAGAAACGAGGAGGGACATCAGATTGTTCGCGGTGGTCGCGAAGCGGTGTCCGCGTGGAAAGCTCAACGTTGGGGCGCTGGCGCTACTATTAGATTCATTGTTATCCTTGTTCGTACGGTTCATTTTTCTCTTACTCGTAATCCGTAAGGGCTTCGCCCCCATGCCGCCAGCCCCCTTCTCTCAGAATGGAATTTGCCAGAGCTATGTTGGGATGGCTGGACGCTGACGTGAAGCAACGTCGGGACTTCACGCGAGGTCCAATCTTAATTTACCAGGGTTTATGCCTTCGGTGGCGCGAATCGGATGTAGTTTACGATGGTTTATGGCATCGGGGGCGCGAATATGGCATGACTTGCAAGGGTTTGTGGCTTCGGGGACGCAGCGATTGCATGAGTTACAAAGGTTTACGGCCTCGGGGGCGCAACTATCATGTACTTCAAAAGGGTTATGGCCTCGGGGACGCGAATGTGGCATCATGTGTGAGGGTTTGTGGCCTCGGGGACGCACATCTTGTATACTTTGCGAGGGCGTATGGCCTCGTGGGCGCAACTATTGTGTAATGTAGAAGGGTGTATGACCTCGTGGGCGCGAATATTCAGTAATTGACGTTGGTTTATGGTTTCGGGGGCGCGAATATGGTGTAATTTAAATTACCCCTGTGCGACCATACCTAGAAGTTGGAGCCCCTCGGAAAGCAGCATTAGTCGCTATGCTATGCTATGATATGATATGATATGCTGCGCTATGCTATGTTCTCCTATGCTCCGCTATGCTATGCTATGCCAAGCTAAGCTAAGCTAAGCTATGTCATGCTGCGCTGTGCTATGCTATGCTATGCTAAGCTGCGCTATGCTATGTTATGCTATGCTAGGCTGTGCTATGATATGCTATGCTATGCTATGCTATGCTATGCTATGCTGCACTATGCTATGCTATGCTATGCTATGCTATGCTATGGTATGAGTGGCTATGCTATGCTATGCTATGCTATGCTAATGCAGCGCTGCGCTATGCTAAGCTAAGCTAAGCTAACCCTCTAGGCAGAGCCTACGTAGGGAATTACACCCATGCTAATGCTGTGCTGTGCTGTGCTGCGCTATGCTATGCTATGCTATGCTATGCTATGCTGCGCTATGCTGTGCTATGCTGGGCTTTGCTATTATATGCTGTGCTAAGCTGTGCTGTGCTACGCTCTGCTATGCTATGCTGTGCTCTGCTATGCTAAAGCTCGGCGAAGCTAAGATGAAGGTAAGCTAAACTAAGATAAACCTGAGCTAATATGAAGCTGAGCTAAGCTAAGATGAAATAAGCTAAGCTAAGATGAGATAAGCAACGCTAAGCTAAGGGAACGTCACTGGGGGAACCGCGGGGCGGATCCTGGGGGAACCGCCCAGGGCGTGAAGCACTGCCCGGCCTTTTAAGCCAACACGGTAAGAACCCTTCTAGGCAGAGTCTAGGTAGGTAAAAGGGTGTATGGCCTCGGTGGCGCATATTAGGTCATTTACGATGTTCTGTGGCTTCGGAGACGCGAGGCGACTATTGGGTAATGTATAAGTTTGTGGCCTCGTTGACGCACATCTTGCATAATTTACGGCGGACTATGGCCTCGGGGACGCAAATATCATGCATTTGTGCATGCCCCACGCCCCTCCTTTGGGACATGGAAAGTAGCTAGTAGAAAAGCTGGTTTGGGGCTCCCCCCTCACGCGTTCAGCAACAATTGACAGTGAGGAAGCAGAAAGCAGGACTGTAACAGTGGAAACTGGAAACTGCAACTGGCACAGGGGACTGCATTCCTCACCCTCGCAGCCTGGTGGCCCCGCAAGGGGGCCGGCGGATTCGTCTTCCCGCGCCATGTGTCAAGTCGTATTATTGTTGTTACTGCTCGTTTTCATCGCTGCCACTTTTTTTCACCTGACCTGTCGTGTCTTTACTCGCGAGTCACGCTACCTCCCTCTCTGTCCTCCTCCTCCTGCTACTACTCCTCCGCCTATGTACCCCTCCTCCTACCCCTTCTCGTGCTGCTGCTCACACTTCTGCCCCTTGTTCTGCTCTTCCTCCTCCTCATCCTCCCCCCCCCGCCTCTCTTCCCCCCCTTCCTCAGACCTCCGACGCCGTGGTTTTCATCGCGCGGTTCCCCAGCGGTTTGAGTTTGGGCCCCTTCTTGGGAGCCGGTCTCCCTTCCAAGCCGCCTGCTTACATCTGTTCACGGCCCCGGGGCCAGGCAAGC